TTTGGTGTTATTTAGGGGGAAATAAACCAGAAAGAAGTGTATGCTTTAGGTCGGGACTACCTTGTGATTGACATGTCGCTACCATGGCGACCTGTCAAAATTGTAGTAAAAATTGTCTTCAGGCCAGTAACTTTCAAACACAAAAAGTTTAACGTTGAGCACTGGATACTCATGTTCCCCTCAGGATGAATTTTGGCCATTATTTCTATTGTTCCAATAGTAACAATGTACTCATCAAGTTAACTGTTGAGTTTTAGAAGCACAACAACATTGCCAAAAAGAAGGAAAGGAACATGACAAACAAAACTTATTTAGTTCCCAGATCTGAGCAGTTACTTTGCTGAGTGCAAAGTTAGTATGTCATGACAAAGACTACAAAATTAAGACTAAAGATGAAATGCCCTACAATGTTCCATTAAGGGGGAAACCGATATGAATGCAATATTTAGCTTATACTCCCAGCCTGATTTCAAAGACAGTGATTCAAAGAGTCAAACGCCTAAGTGTATGGAAGGTCTATTGAAGAGAGCGGTGTTCTAAGCTTGCTAAACAAAAGGGGACTGAGGCATTGAATTCATTAGTTTATATACTGTGTGTATAGAGATCAGTACGTAATCAACACATTTTAAGCTCTTTTTCTTTAAGGAATGTTTGTAACATAGGGGTGTGGAAATGAAATTATTTTTAGATGCATCGCGGTGCGGACTAGGACGATTCTGAATCGATTCACAAATGTTGTGAATGAATGTTGACGGAACGAAAAAGGCGGAACTCAGATATGCGGAAAAGCAGCTCTGGACCTTCTGTGGAGTGCACACAACGGAGACGTTGATCAATAAAATCAATGCGCAACTAATGTTAGTGATTTTCACCCGCGCACTGTGCAGCACGGTAGAGCTTGACAGGCGGCAGTAGGTGACGCCGGTGAAAGTGAGCGGAGCAGAGGAAAACTGAGCGCTACGTTTCAGTCTGGCAGTAAATTTACAGTGTAGGTCACAGCGTGTCCATTTAATTAAAGTCTGTCTTTTTCCAACTGCTGGAAAAGCAAAGGCGGTTAGCGTTAGCTAACGTCTCTTCTTCAGAGAGTGGAAGCTGAGCAGGCCGTTTTTTGGCTGTTAGTTCAAGTTCGTTTGTTATCGTTCATCCACACATCGAGTACACAGATGAACTAAATGCCGTTTCTCAAGGCCCATGGTGCTCAATACAAGATTACAATAATCAACTTACAAGACAAGACACAAACATGAAACTTCACCAGACGAGACAAAAAAAGGAACAGATATATTAAGATGGAGTGAACATGGTTTGGCTGGAGCATTGTAAAGTGTGGAGTTCAACCCGTATCTGACTCTATACTAATAACAGCAGCATCAGAAATAAAAATAGCAGCAGCAGAGATCAGTAATAATGCTGTAATAAGGCTATGCAGTGTTAGCTACATTTATATGAAGTAACATTAAATATCTGCGTTTCATTACTACCTACTTAGTTGGATTAGTACAAATACTTTGCTTTAAAAGTACCAAGTAGTCATCGATTTGAATTGTGAGACCAGTGAAGATGCACACCCCTAGTAACATAGTAAAAAACTCACTTCTAGAGTGAAAGCATGAAGCAGTGAGGATGGATAGAGAAGCATTGGTAATTTAAGTAGACAAATGAGGCGTAACTGATGACCCTGTGTGTGCTTCCCCCACCGACTTAAAAAAAAAATCAATCATGGCTTATATGAGTTGGGGGAATTGGCACACATGCCAAGTGTTGTTGTCAGATTACAATGATGAGCTTATCCTTTTTGCATGCCATTGAAAACATGGTACTGCAAATGAATGAATTAGCCATAGAGACGGCATGCTGCTTGTCATGTTCACTTTGAAAACACAATTAGAGTTAATGACTTAGCTGTCGCTGGAAAGCATTCATCCTCTATCTCATTAAGGCTTAGAGATAGATGCCCAGTTTCTCATTAGTTCACTATAAAGTTAAAAGATTAATCCATGTGCTTACACTGCCAAATAGTACTTCCAAAGAATATTTTTGATGTTTAGATTCAGTGACACATTTACTTCTTCGTCTCAGGAATTCAACCACAACATTATTTCAGTTTCGTTTTGACACCAAGGCTGTCTTTTCTGTCTTATTTCTGGTGGGATTTGTTTGTATAATCGTAGTTCAGGTTTAATACCAGATGTGGGTTGAGGACTGAAGCAGGATGGCATCAGCCCCTGTGCCAGTGAGCATGAGAGGGCAGGGCAGAAGTTGTATTTAGACCATCTATTTATTTTCCAAGGAACAGAGAGAGAAAAAAGCTGACATTTCTGGTATTTAATTACAAAGCGGCCATGGCCAAAGGCACACTGTCAATGGTAGTTTTAAGGCCGACAGCTTAACGACCTCAGGAATGGTGGCACTTTTGGTTTTGGTGACGCTGTGTCATTTCCTCCTGTAAAGAGCTGTTTTCTTTTTGGCTTTGGGATATGTACATGATGCCAGTAAAAAAAGCAACAACATTATGGTACCATCATGTGTACCAAAACTTGCATTCATTGCCAAGTCAAGGGTTTGAACTTGGACTAATTTTAGCCTCTTTTTTTGAAGTTTTGTTTTCTCACGAGAATCCTTTTTGTGACAGTTTTAGTCGCTTTGAGGGAGGTGACTTCCCCTGCTCACGCTGTGCAGTGGCAGTAATATTATTCTCTCCCATAATTAATCAGCCTCGTCAAAAGGTTCTTGTGTATTTGGAGCCATGTACAAGTTTGAGAGGACTCCTGGGTGTGATGTCCTACCATATAGAGTTTGTGGGGTGGGGGTGGGGTGCGTGGGAGGAGGAGGGGGTGGGAGGTGGGTTGATTTAGGTGACTCACTGGTTTTGGCAAGGGTGAGCAAACACGTCATGTCACCAGTTGACTCGCTGTACATTTCCCAACAATAGGATGCCTGGCTGAAATTGGCACAGTCCCTTTTCATGGCCACAAAGGGAGCCATTAAGGCTTCAGTGCATCCGGATTCAAGTCGCTTCATAACGTTGGAGAGTGCGCCTGGCTGTTGTGGTGCTGGTGCTCTTACATAAGGTTTCTTCATTTAGCCTGGCCTCAAAGGAGCTATTGGCTGAAGGACACGGCTTCACTGCTTCTAGTTTAGCAAGCTGAATGTTTCCAGTAACGTTTTCATAGTAAAGGTACTCCAGATAACCTATCTGTAGTCTGTTTGCTCAACCCGATGAACCATTGTGTGATACAAGTCAACTATAATCCTTGAATAGGAAACTGGGGGCAAACAAACATTAGAGCAAAGACTAGAATCCTTCCTGTCACATCAGTCGTATCAGTCTATCAATCTTGGCCACTATTCCACCAAACTGCTGCACCTTTTGGCTACAAACCTGACTTCACACAGCTCAGCTTCAGGCCTCACCCTCACAGTCTGGATCAAAGATAAATTGGAACAAGATAGGAGTAAGTTAGTGTCTTGCATCTGAGCCAGCTTCTCACCGGAGGGAATCGCCATAAAACAAGACCGCAGAGGTAGGAGCTGTGGGATCAGTTGGCAGAGAGCTATACAGTTTAAAACCACTTTTCTTTGTTTACAACCTTAAGGGTGGATTAGAAAAACTTCAGGTTTGACCAGACTTTCCACACCTGTGGTGAAGGACAAGCACAAAGTGAGAATTTACCAGGTTTGCAAAAGCCGAGAAAGATCCGGGGTTCATTTCAATTCAAAACATTCAACTTGTAGAAAATTCACTGTGTATTAGAACAACAGCACAACTAGACTGTTGCTTTTGTCACTGTTAACATGACATGTAGGAAACTAGCAAGTGGTGAACAATCATGGCACTAAACTATCTGAGAGGTAATGTGTGCAAACATTTTGGATTCGACAGATGGGAAATTGTGGATGAAGGCTGTTTACAACTGACTTACAGTAAGGTTTCCACAGCAACAGATCTGAAGTCATTTGATTGCTGCCTGTTAATCAGACTGGATTGCTAAGTCGGAGACGTTCAGTCACTGACCAGACTATTCTATAGTATCAAAGTAATTGATTTTTAATTTTCAGGATGAATTTTTCACTAAAACGCAGCTGACTTGGTGGGTATTGTTGACTTCAGTTCAGTCATCCTTTTAAATTTGTTAGCATATTTATGCAACACTATTTGGATGTAGTTATGAATGAAACTGCTAATGGCTTCAGTTATTGACTCCGACCAGGAAGAGCAAAAGAACTTTAGAGGCTAACGCTACTGTTACCCATCGTAGGTTGAATGCTACTGTTTGTGTCCACATCGCCTTAGTAAATGAGTTGCGAGCGTGCTTTATGATACTGTTGTGAGACTGCAAATGCAGTGGGTCTAATATTTAGTTTAGACTTCATATTTAGTGTGGGAATTTCGTTCAGTGGATATTTGGAAGTAGGTTGTGATTAGGGTAGCTAGCTTCACTAGCTAGAAGGGGAGGGGTGGAAGCAGAATGATTGTTTTTTTTGACAGTCAAATCAATTTTAGATCAATTTCACATAGAAAGTTATGGTATATCCGTGGCCTGTATTAGTTTCCCAATACACATTAATTTGTGTTTTTGATCTTTTAACCATTCCTGGCTGTAGCTTAGAGTGCTACAGAAAGTTCATGTTGTGCCAGGCTCTCTTCTCTGTGGCAGCCATTTGTCTGGTATTTAAAAGGTGACTTTTGTGGTTGCTCTTGCCTCACCGTGTTCAGTGAGGTCTTTGTTGTTGTGCTGAACAATAGTTGCCTTGTATAAAGGCAAAACAGGGGCCCTCACCTGCACAGCATGAATTAAGAAGACGTGGCAGGCACTGCAAATGGTTTAAGCTCACTTTGTAGTGGATAATTTTTCAGCCACTGACTGCTATCATCATCTGATTCCACATTATGGCTCATCAATGTCCATTTGGGTTGTACTTTGTCATGCATTTGGCTTTTAGAGAAGAAAGCTGTAAAAATGCTCTCTGTGGATTTCTAACTGCTTGTCTTCTTCCAGGTCTGGTCTAATCCTCTTTGGAGCCATGGAAAGGTTGGGAATGGCAGGAAAAGAGGATTGAACTTCCACAGGTTGGAATCTAAATTTCTATTTTTCCGTGCTAATGCTTTTGCAGAAATGATAGCCCTTACTTCTTTTTATTCTCATATAATTCATTACAAAGGTTTTTGTTTCTGTTTGGCCATTGTTGTGCGCCAAATAGCCAGGCATGTCTAGGGGGCGATCACTCAAGATTTTTTAAGTATTTCCTTCAATTAATCAGAATTACACAATGGTACACGGTATTTGAGTTTCCTCCTCCTGCGGTGTCAAGTCCACTTCCCCCCAGACCGCATCCCATCACACTCAGCAGCCATTTAAAGTGTCGACGGGTGCTTCCAATTACTCCTGCCCACGCCAAACCAGAAGCTCAGGCCATGCAAACGGAGCCTTCCCCACTGCGACTTTTATCTGTTTGTTTTCATATTTCCCTTGCCTCGTTCAGCCCTCCTCCTCCCTTGTGCTTTTACTGTTTTTGCTTTCGCCAAGGATTACTTTGTTTTTCCTCCAGCTGACCTTGGTTACATAAACTAACGCCTGATCCCCCTTCCTTGATTCTCCTCCCTGTCCGAGTCCCCCTCCTCGCTGTTCTCACTGCAGTGCCAGGCTATCCTCTGGGCGCTCCCACAAAGCCCAGTGTTGTGATTACATTGTGAAATTGGAGCCAGGGCTATTTATTCCCAGGCTGGGGTAGTGTGGAGGACCACGTTGGAGGATAAGCCAGAGAAGGGGAAGCCAGGAAGCTGTTGTGGTTGAATCAAGCGGATGGTGTTGGTGGATGAACTGTTTATGTCTTCTCATAACCTCTCTTTGTGGGCTGTGCTTCCAGCCAGCTGTTTCAAATAAGCAGAACGCCCTGGGTTGCTTCTCACTGTCAGCAGTTTCTTAACCATTCAACTTTGGCCATCACAGGGTGGCAGATTAGCCTAGCAGTTTGAGACACCATCCAACTATCCTTGAGCTGGAGGACCGAGGCTCAGGCCTTTGGGAAGCATTCGTCCTGCTGAAGTATCATTGAGACGGACAGCAAATCATTGCTTTTAGAGCTTGTAACAGGAATACTGTGTAGTAAGCAGATGACCACAGTGGCTGAATAATCCGTCCACAGAATGCTGTTTACCAAATATAGTTTGGTAACACAACACTCCCAAATCCCTCTTAGAAGCATGAAACATGCAACATTCTTCTTCTTCTTCCTTTCTGCAAATAAGCGCATTTTTGACAGCATAAACATGCTCGAAAACTCATGAATCTTTGCACGAACTTCTAGTCGTGTCATAGGTTTTTGTGCATGGGTGTGGCAAAATGGTTTGCTAGCATCCCCTAAAAAAGCAGCTCTGGGCCACGTTTCTCCAAAATGTACAAAATGTTTGTGGTAGATACTGCATATCATGTCCAGACCTACAAAAAAAGTCTCTTGGAGCAATGCCCTAAACCCAACACGAAGTCTACCATTTTGGATTTAATGGTCATTTTTAGCAATTTAAAGGTTCCGTACTTTAACAAACTCCTCCTACAAAAATTTATCCGATCAGCTTCAAATTTTTGCTGTGCATTCTAAAGGCATTGTTGATGAAAAGTGGTGCTATTTGTGACGTGCCGTCGATAATTGAACATTCACTATGAAACAGGAAGTTACTATTTCTGACTGGGCTGAATCAATTTTGTCAGCTTTAATTTTGTAGCAGAAATAGGGGTGCTTTGATCTGATACATTGATCCCTATCGGCGCAGACACTGACCTCATTAAGTAAATTGGTTTCCAGCCGGATGTGATCAATCCACATTAAATAGTTTCTTAGTCGCCTTCATTACAAAATTGTAACAATACAACTTCAAAATCTTTGAGAATAATATAAATAGTGTAGTATAACCATCTCAGAATCTGACACTGTCTGCTTGAGTGTACTAATGTCTCATCTATCAGAGTTGCACTGATTATCTTGCACTGTTGTCCTGTTACCAGCATTTCTGTAAAAGTTCATGGGTGTATTTAGTTACCACATTTCTCAGAGGTTATCATTCAGTCTCATTGTGTCCACATTAACTCAACTGGGCCTGGGCAAACACTTTAAAAATTGGTTCAATCTGCAAAACCCTGGGGCACAAATTTCATATATCTGTTGCTTTGGAGCAGGGTTAAAGGCCCCCTCACCCCCACCCCTCCAATTTCCAATAGCTCAACACTGTGTCAACACATGGTAATCTCTAAACACACACCTCATTTGCTTCATACACTTGACCTTGAGTTACATGTAAAACATTCAAATATTCAATCTCTCACACTCACCTACACACACGAGTTGTACCTGCGTTTCCATATTTGTGATTTTTAGTCATGTTAGTTGGGTGAAGCTTTATCATGCGTGTTGCTGTCGTCATTAGTGGATTACTGTTTCACTTTTGTTCTCAGAAAACAGAATCGTGACACACAGAGACACACACGCGCACGCATGTAGTAAAGGCCAACCGGAGATGAGATGAACAGCCGAGCATTAGATTACAGGAAAATTATCAGCCAGGCTAGACAGGAAACACTGCAGGATAGTGATGCGTGTGTACTTCCTAAAAACAACCAGACCATGTAATGGTTTCATTTTAAAATACATGTTTGGGTTTGATAGAACACAAAATGTGTCATTAACAATTTAGCTGCTTCCACACACAAAGTGAAAGATGGATGACAGTGTTAAAGATATGGGTGAAGAAAAGGTTGCGTTCACAATCCCTGAAACCACACTGAAACGGTCTCTAATCTGATTTAGGAAAAGGATACACATAAAATGGTGGGATTTGAAAATGGATCGTCTCTTTGGCTTTATTTTGGTTTTATTTTCTACATTTTTATGTAACACACTAAGCTGAGTTCTTCTTAACAAGGCTTCACAGTTAAGTTAACCACCATTGTTTCCCTGAGCAAGACGCTTTACCCCTAGTTTTACCCCTAGTTGCTCTAGAGGCGTGCGACCTCTGACATGTATAGCAATTGTAAGTCGCTTTGGATAAAAGCGTTAGGGAAATGAATAAATGTAAATGTAAGTCCATCAGTCTGTGTGCTTTGTCAAGTACCATCTCATTTCACCAACTGACTTGAGTCCTGATTGAAAAGCTCTATACAGCACTCCCATGAATGCTGATTTGATTGCAACAAAGACATGAATTAACAGCTGTTGTGAAATAGAATTTGGTGTTACAACACATCTGCTGCAGGTCTATCAGAACCAGTGGTCTTCCCTGCTCTGCACGGACCTCAGCTGGGAGGGGTGGGGGGCTGCAGATTAGTGTGCTTTTAAGCGTATCAGACTTTTTAACTAACATTAGGGGGTTTGATAAAGAACATGGAGTGATACCAAATAAACCTGCTTAAATGAGCCCATGCTGTGTCCACAGATTAACTGAAGTCGCTGGCTTCATCAGAGGACTCTGCGTGACTGCTGAGTCTCCGAAATACTGCTTGATATATTTAGCTTGGAAGTTAGGTTTGTCACTTCCTGTTCATTCTGTTATGTACAGTGCTCGGTGATGTGTTTGTTTGGTTACTTGTTGGTTTGTGAAGGTCATGTGTCTTCTTGGTGGCAGCCAGCAAATGTCATTCTACCGTCCGTGTTAGTGTGACTCAAAGCTAGGTGAGACTTATTAATGATGATAACTCCTGTCTCATACTGTGCAATAGTCAGTTGAGCGCACCATTCCCAAAAACCTGTGTGGGGCAGATGCTTTCTTTTGCTCTTTGCAGAGGTGAATAAGTATGGTGGAAGTGATCGTTTATTTTTTCATCCATCACTCCATCAGCCCCTCCCTCCTTCCACCATCTGCTTTTGTTTTGAAAGATCAGAAAGTGCAACAGAGGCCGACGGCATTCTGTAAAATGAACTTATTCATGGGATTTATGGTTGTTTTTAATGAATGCTGCTTTCCAGGCTCCATGTGGAAATGTCTACATGCTCAGCTGTGGACCTGACAATGTGGGGTGTGCGACTATTGGAAACTGCTCTGCAGCCACATGACCCAGACCAGTTTCTGCTTAAGTGGTGATGATTGACTGCGCTAAATGATAGGAAACGGTTTCAATCAGATCTTTGCTTTGTTTCAGTTCGAAGGAGACTTTACAATGTTGTTCCAAACAGACAACATGGTGCTCTCTATGATTGTTGTGATTAAATGGATCATGGTACAAATAAAAAGCATGGGGAGGATTACTAAATGGGCAGTCTGTTTAGCCCTTTGAGGAGGGGAAAGGAAAAACAACCCTTTGCTACATTTCCCTGTAGAGGTGACCATGTGGGATGTAATGTTTGTAATTAGTGTATGTTAGTGAGTTTAAGCGTGCCAGTAGGGCATCCATTATCACTTGCCGTATGTGTCGTTGTGTGTAAGCCAGAAGGATGCGGTCATCTCAGAAAGTGGCTGCTAATCATAAATCCATTCTCTGGAGGGCTGTAAATCACTTGCTGGCCGTTTGTTCCTGATTACAAAGATGCTGCCTTTTGGAAGAGAAGCGTCAGGTTCCAGCTTGTCAGCCACATATTACTCGAGTAGGTATTTTGTTAAAGAAACTCAATGAGCAGTGTGTTTTCTCATAGTCTTTCTCGGTGTTTTTCCTTTCAGAGGTCTTCATCTCCATCTATTTTTCCTTTGTTTCTCCTCTGTCTGTTTGACAGTACATGAAAGCGTTAAACAAGTGCCAATAATGCCAAGTGCAATCGACCTTGCTTATCTCTGCACCCTTAGCGAGACAAGGTGACTTTCCTGGAGCGAGGCATCTGGAGCACTTGCCGCGAGCAGAACCATATAATCAAATCATGTCATTTAGTCGTCCTCTCGTTTTATTTTTATTTTTTTTGACTGCATTGTCGTCTCAGGAACTGCATGAACTGCGCCTGAACTTCACATGACTTCCAAAGACAGGACTTGCAAGAGGAATGGAGAGTAGGGGCCTCTCACTCATTTCACTGATTGTGTCCTCTTTTAAAAATTTAAAGTCACCTACATTAATCTTAGGCTTCCCGGACGAGCAGAGCAGCGTGCAGAAT